ACATGAAGACCCTGGGCAGAAATGCTTTGATGGATGTTTCCCCTTGCTTGTTTTTTTTTTTTTTTTTTTAAAGAACTATATTGAAAAGAAATTCTACTTATAGGAAAGATATTACCAAACAAACCAGCAAAACATATTTTGAAATACTCAAATGTATTGTGTAAAGGGAATTTCACAACTAAAAATAAAAGGTTAATTTCTTACAACAACCTTGTGACTCAGACCTTCAGGATTATTTTTGATGGTTTTTCTTAACGTGAAAAAACAAGTTTCGTAATTAAATCAGCTTTAAATGCAGTAGCCAATGTGGTGACTATGTTTTTAAATCCCTGTATTCACAGAAGGAGCTAATGAAACATAAATCAGTTATTCTGACAATTATTTTCTTAATTGATTAATTACTTGGTTTGCCAGGGGTTTTTTTTTTTAGCCTGAGGCGTCTTTTGGTCCAAAATGCAAAAATATTCAAATTGCAGTGATATAAAAAGCAGCAAATCATCACATTTAAGAAACAGAAACCAGAGTATTTGGTGTTTTTACTTGATGAATAATTGATCACACTTCCAGGGAGGAGCATCAGCAGGCGTCAACATCAGTTTGTTTTACTGGTTTCTTGTTTTCTGCTCAGCGGTGGACACTGGTGTTAGTGGGATCTGCGATGAGGCAGAGGAACACGATGAAATCGCACCAGGATTACTGTGCTTTCACTGAAGAGGCCAGTGTGTGTTTAAAAAGATGCTGCACGGTATGAAAGGCTTCAGCCGCATATCGAATGGGCCTCGACCGGTTGTTTTCATTATTGATGATGAATCGTTTGGTCTGTAAAATGTCAGTCAGCAGTGAAAATACCCGGTGCAAGTTCCTAAAGTTCAAGATGTCTTCATCTTGTTTTGTATGACAGCATAAATTACCAAAATAGTTGGTGATTAATTTTCTTCCAGCCAACAATCCCCCCTTTTATCTGATTCAGACTCGGGTGCTTTGTATATTTCCAGCTGCTCCTGGTTGGTTAAGAAATATGCCCATGGACATCTAGACAACTGTCAGAGAATTAGATACTGAAGAAAACTTAAAAACCTAAAGATTCTCAGCTATAAGCAGTGCCATTTTCTGTCATTTCTAAGTGGATTTATGGACCTGAATCTAAAACTGTGCGATGTCAGTGTTCAGATGTAAGTGAACATTTAACGTTGGTGACCTGCCTTTGGAGAATTGAATATCTTTGGGTTTTGGTGTGATGATTGGATGAAAAAATAAGGGACTTTAAGACGCCACCTTTGGCATTTTTCAGTTTTCTGACAATTTATTGAAGAAATGTTTACTGTTGAATCCAAAAAAATGATCTACAGATTAAGAAATAATGAAAACGATTTGCCGCCCTGATGAGATATTTTTACCAGTCATTCCAGTACGAGGTACATATACCAACAGCTGCCCCCCCCCCACACACACACACAGCAGCTGTCTCTAATGTTAATAACGACTATCTGCACATACAGCTCCACACAATAACAGCTTGTTCCTGAATCCACAGCAGTGCAAAATGGAAATGATGGAAATGATTTCAGTTGCGGTCAGTCTCCAGTCGATAACCATTTCTCCCTCCTGTGAGACTACCGTGGTGAAATATAGAGCTCCACTTGTTTTCTGGCTCTGGTTTGAGGGGCACAAAGGGGAGAGTGAGGAAATTTGAGGGTAATTTGATTCTCATCTCCTCCTCCACTCAGGCTGATCTGTGTTCCTGTTGTTGGAGCCAGTTCTGGTTCTTCTCACTTACCCCGCACATGGTAGCTCAGCACGTTTGGCAGCTGTTAGGCCACCATGCGTCTGCTGCGAGGGGCTGCTGACAGGGCATGCTAGCTATTTTAATGTTGGAGGTCTCTACAGACTGGACATTCTTGGTTCAGGAGTCAGCTGTGCTATTAGGACCTCACACCCTGGGGACACAGTCGCACAACAGTGGCTGTACTGAGATCTGCTCACATGTGGCACATGGAAGATCCTCCTGTAGAAAATCTCAGCCATGTTTAGGCAGGTATTACGTGTGCAGTGATAAGAGATTTGCTTTGAAGCAGTGAAGAGGTCAGCTTGTTGTGTTCCTAATTGTTTTTATGGTCCTCTTAAAGTTCCGGCACCAAACTACCATAGAAAAACTATTAAATGAACTGATGCACAGTCCTGAGAACAAAATGTCTGGGGACAAATGGCACAATACAGAGAGCAGCGTTGCCAAGTTTGACCCAATTATATGATCAGATGTAAATGTTGCCATGGATTTAATGAGCTATGGTGTGTCTGCTACAACAGGAAACCCAATTTCTAGGCCTATATTTTTATATTTGGAAAAATGAATTACTTATTACTGTCAAGAAATACTGACAGTGAAACATGAAGTTCTTATTAGTAATGTATTTTATAATTCTTCTTGTTATACATCACTTTAATTCACTTTGGAGAATAATTATGCTCTACATTTTGGAACTACACTTCCCAGAAAGCTTTGGGAAATGTAAACAGGAAGTTCACAGTTGCAGTGTAGGCCACAACTTAGGCCCCATTTTTTTAGCCAATATCTTTTTTATATTTCAGGATATTGGCTCCATTATGATGTACCTGAATCAGCTATTAGCAGCTCCAGTTTGCAGTGTGCCCACAGACATGTAGACAGCCATCAGTGGATTAATCTGATACTGAAGATAACATAAAAACCTGAGGATTCTCAGGCAGGTTCTGGAGTTACAAGGAGTGCCATTTTTATGATTTCTAACCAGGCTTGTGGCCATTTATTCAGGATGGACATCCAACAGGATGGTATCCACAGTAAGTGTAAGTCACACTGAATCTAAAAATGTCTGTGTTCAGATTTAACTCTGTTAGGACCCCCAGAAATATACAGTATGTATGTTTTTTATGTAAATTTTTTCCCCGTCTCCACCTTCAGCTCTCCCACACTTCACATTTTGAAAATGTCTGTACTATATTAAATATCTGAAACAAAGCAAGTAAAGAAATCTCCATTAATCAATGTGAAAACTTTGTTACAGAA